GTTTTCTGTCACAACCCAAAGAATTCTGACTAATAGAGAAAATAAGTATTTTTTTTAAAGTGAATATAGGACTTCCACTTCTGGCAATATGGAAGACTAAAATGTCTGGGGAACCCTCCTAGTATAGGACACTCAAAAAATTCTTGATAAAATACTTTTAAAAAATCTTCTAAATGCATGGCTCAGCTTACAAAAAAAGTCAAAAGAAGTCCTCAGAGTCCAGGAACAACAAGAAAATATGAATCTAGATACTAGAGTTATCAGACACAGAGCATAAAATAAGTATGCTTAATATGCTTAAATAAATAAAAGACAATCTCAAATGAATGACAAAGAAACAAGAATGACAGGCAAATTTAACTCAGTACAGAGATCGCACAACAATGGTGCAGGCCAGGGGACAATGAATATTATCTTCACATGCCAAACTATCAACCTAGAATTATATAACCAACAAAACTATCTTTGAAGAACAAGAGCAAAACAAAAACATTTTCAGATAAATAAAACTGAGCATTTACAACAATAACCTTTCCTACAGTAATTAATACACAATATATTTCAGGAAGAAGGAAAAGAACTCCAGAAAGGTCTCTGAGATCCACCATTCAGGAAAGAATGATTGGCAGAGAAAACTGTAAACTTGTGGATAAATGTAAACAGACAAATACTGCATTTTTAAAACGTCTAATGTGTTGGTTTAAAAAGCAAGGCAGAATTAAAATACTGGAGTAAAATGGCATACAAATTGGGAAGGAAGGTGATGGATATTAAAGCATTCTAAGGTCCACAGTTACTGATTAACTTCAGCCTTTGTTGCATTAAATATGTACTTTCAAATTTACAAGTGAAGATTATAAATAAATAACGTCACTGCCAAATTAGTAGAGAGAGAAAAATGGAATGAGAAGTGGGGGGACCTTATCAACTCAAAAAGCAGCATGAAAAATACACATAGAAAAAGCATAACCAACAGAAAGCATAAAATAAGATGGCATAATCAAATCCTAAAGTTTCAGTAAGCACAATAAATATGAATGGACAAAACCATCTAGTTAAAGCCAGAGACTGTCAGCCTTGATTTTTTTTAATGACAACACAAAATTGAGCAACATGCTATTTAGAGACACACCTAAAACACAAAGACGCAGAATGAGTGAAAGTAAAAGAATGGAAAAGGCATCATGAAAATACTAACCTAAACTGAACATGTTCTGTAGATTTGAAAGAACTGATTCAAAGAAAGGATGCCACTCTAACGACCACAAGATGGTCTAACAAGAATTAATAAAATACCCTGCACTTTACAACCTTGTTGGGGAAGGAAAAAAAAGCAACAAAACATCAGTCTAATGTCCACACCATGTGCGATGTTTTTCCAAAGACAATGCTGTTAAGAGAACAGATGAGCAGGCTACCTCTCCGCAAAAAGAGAAATCCTAACCAACTCCCTCCTGCCAACTCCAGCAAGACACAAACACTTTCTTTTGCTGAATTACCTATTTAGACCTATGTTGAGACTCTGCCATTGCAGCACCTGTGTCCTGATTCTTGAACTCAGATACACATCTGCAATTATAGCGTTAACAAGGTTAAAACCCAAGCAAGCATTCAAGAAACGCAAGCACCTCTGTATTACTTACACACTTTCCTAACCAGTGGTCACAACTCTTCTGCCACGGCAGAGAACAGCTGATGTTCACACACATGGCGTCCCCATACATGTGCTGTGTGGAAACGCACAGCCCCAAGGGCACTGTCACTCCACCTTTCTCCGATGCTCAATTTGTCAGAATGCAAATGAGAATGACATTATAATGATTATCTCAAGGCTTTTCTGATCTATGAAAATTAAGACTTTTTGCAAATATTGGTACAACACTATTAGCAACCATTTACTTGTGACACACCCTACAACTGACTGTGATGTCATCACTAGTTTCAACTGCACTTGACCTGTTATTAATCCCCACTTTATCTAATTCTGATAGTCTCCCACACCCTCAAAAGCACCCATCCGTAATCTTCCGAGTGAGAAATCCACAGGATCTAAGCTAGTAGCTTTCAATCCTAGTTGCACACCAGCCTCAGCCTAGGCCCTACCCACAAAAATTTTATTTAATTGTTCTGGAGAAGGTCCCTGGCATCAATATTTTTAAAAGTTCCCCAAGGCCACAGCTCTCTGGCTCCCCACTATGGCCTGCTGCCATCTCAGAGTGAAAGTTCTCCTCTTCTTGCTAGGCTCAAATGAGATGGTATTTGCAAAAGAGTTTTGCAAACCCTATACTTACTAAACAGCCATGCAAGGATTCCTTGTCATCCTCCTCCTCCTCCTCGATTCAGTGCTGTAACTAACTGAAACAAAGCTGAGCTCTAATCCACTGGCATGTCAATTATTAGGCTCACAGAAGGGCAGACACAGTCCAAGCCCAATAGTCCCTTGGTAGTTCCCATCCACTGTGGTGTAAAACGTGCGTGGGCCTATGAAAAACGAGTACATACATACTCATTTTGAATATGTTCTCACTCACATACCCATATGTCTAGAAGGGTACCTGGAAAAGTCTAGAAGGATATACAGAAAAATGTTAACAGCAGTTCTCCCAGAGGTGGTAAGTTTATGGGTGATTTTTATTTTTCTCTTTTTTCTTCTCTTTATATGCCAAAATTTCTAGACTGAACATGTATTGTTTTTTAACTAAGATAAATAAATAATTATCTCCACCCCAAAAGAGAGGAGAAATAAAAGGAATACTGCGAGGAATAAAAGATCTGGGATCTGGATCAGCTCTGCCCCATATCTGTGTGTTACCCTGGGGTCACAGCTTTTCCTCTCTGGTTAGACTGGATGCTCCCTCAGGGCATTCCCTCCTGTGACATTCACGGATCTTAACCACCCCTCTGCTTATTAATTAGGGTCCCAGGCGCCCCCCCTCCAACCCCGACTGTGAACTCATAATCTGCCATTCCAGTTTCTCAAGCTAAATCCCAAGACCCTGATTAGGCCCTCACCCGTGTATGAACTATAATAAAAGTGAGTTTCCATGACAGGCCCTGACCCTACAGACCACACCGAAGTGATGGCTCAAAGCCTGGCCGGGCTGAGACTGACATAGATCAAGCTCCCCTTTCTCCCCAGTGAGATAAGAATAACCCGACAGGCCTTGCTGCAGGAATTAAAGGCAGGAGGCATTCACACACCTTATCATGCTGGGTTTGGATTAATTTCCCAGGGTCAATGCAACAGCAGGATCTATAAGCAAATCCTGATAGGACACAGGGCAGCGGCGCCACCATGGAGACAGGGTAGCATAAGCCCCACACGTCATGCACAGCATTTCAAAGAGATTTCACAATCTGAGACAATAAAGGAAGTCGGAACCCGGAAAAGAAAAACTTTATGACCAATCCCCGATGACTCTTAAAAGCCACCTCCTGAGTATACTGTTAGCAACAGAGAAGGCAGTAAAAACTAAGAACTGAGTACACAGTGTGCTCCCAGGTGTTAGGTGTTTTATTAATTCCTAGGTTGTGTTATGTCTACTCATTTCCTATTTTGCAGATTGGGAAACTGAGGCTCAGAGAGGCTAGATAGCTTACCCAAGATCACAGAGCTGATGAGCAAAAGAACCAGGATTTTCTCTGACCTGGTCTGGGTTTGAACCCTGGGTCTGACCTGAAACCTTCCCCTAGATCTTGCCTCAGTGAGCACCCCTGGAGTTTCAAGGAGATAAACATGCATTCAGCCATATGGCTGAAGTGGGGGAACCGCCACCAACCCCAACAAACAAAGTTCTACTCAAAAAGATTAACAGTGAAAATGCCTCCAGCAAAAGCACGAGGCTAGGCCAGAGCAGACCCTGAACAACAGGGAGCACGGTGAAGGGCAAGTCCATCCAGACTGCCACGGACAGAGCTGGGGCCTCCGGTGCAGGCACTCAGGCTCTCTCTGGCCAAGGATCCACGGAGCAGGTCCCTAAAATCAGCACAGTGCCAAGGGCGCCAGCAGGGTCACAGTCCCCCAAGGCCACTTCCCAGCCCTGCAGCCTTGGGCGAGTCACCTGTTCTCTCCAAGCCTATTCTGACACCTGTAAAGAAGGAACGACAGAGAGTGGGAGGGGTGGCAGGTGCATGGGGCACACAGCAGGCTGCCCACTGGCTCCTCCCCGGACCCCCTCTTTGAGCCCTCTTTTCCCCAGTCTTTAGGAGTGAGCTCTAGGGGGGACCTGGAAGATCCTCAACAGGGGAGGAAAGGAAAGCCAGGCCAGGAGGGCCGTTCTCCTGCTGCCAGCTCGTTCCCCTCTCACCTGGGAAGTCGGCACAACCCGCCCAGCCAGCAGCTCCAATAGGAATGAGGCCTCTGACCACCCAGACTCGGGGCCTGCACCATGCACCGGAGTTGACTGGACCACAGCCAGAAGGAGTCTTTCCCACCAGCTGCTCCTTCCTGCCTTCCTCCTTCTAGAGCTCAGGAATCCAACTCCCAGCGAGAGGGAAGGAGGCTCGTCGCCTCTGACTTGGCTATCCAGCTGCCTTGCACTTCACCTGCCCCTCCCGGTTCATTCATGGGCCCTGGAGCACACAAGTAAGTGAATGGAGCCCGTCTCCAAGCCCAGGAGTCCTTCCTTCGCTTCCCCAAGGCAGGGGTACACCGGCGGAGCCAGAATGGGGGTGCTGTGGGACCGAGGAAGGGCACCCAAAGGGGGTCTCATCTTAAACCTGTCTGCTTAGCCCCGACCCCCACACTTTTCAAGGCCGAATGGCAGACCTTCTCAAGGGGGAGGGAGCCAAGAGACCACCTAGTAACAGATTCGTCAATTGCTGAGATTCTATTTTCATTTTCTAAAACTTTCTTGCGCCCTCCCCCGTATGAACCCCTCCACTGCCCACTTCTGAGAAAGACTCAATAAGACGCGCGATCCCCTGGTATGTCGAGACCCCATCCCACCCCGCCACTCCACAGCGGCAGAGACCGAGGCCCGGGGACTCCGCGGACTCACAGCGGGTTCCAGCGCTCGGGCAGGCGGCGGTGCAGCGAGATGCGGTCGCTGAGGTAGGTGTTGATCTGGTGCAGCCGCACGCTCTCCTCCTGCAGCCGCAGCTCCTCGCCCTGCAGCTGCAGCCGCACCGCCTCGCCCCGCGCGCCCAGAGCGTCCGCGGGCACCGGCGGCCGCGGCAGGACCGGGTCGCGCC